ATGTATAAAAAGATTTTACACATACTCAACTTTAGAAAGAAGATAGAATATGGATATGATCAAAGTTGGCCCAGTGGGAGGTTATGATATTGGTGGAACCATTTGGGATGAAAAGGGACGAGATCAAGTTGGTGGGATTCTTGTTTCCTATAGCAAAGACGGAGTCGATTCACTTCAGTTCTTGTTCTATGAGAATGGAAACTTAGTTCAGTCAAACAAACATGGTATTCATCACCGCGAGAACTTCTGCGCAGTTTTCTTTGATTATCCATTAGAGTTTCTTACTTCGATAAGTGGTTCCTCCGAAAAAGTGAGTCAGTACATGAGCTCCACAATTTTGACATCTATAGTATTTGGCACGAACAAGGGTTCTTATGGACCATTTGGGAAATTCTCAAATGATGTTGACAATGATATTGACTTCAACTTTCACATAGGAAATCATCGTCTGTTTGGTGGTTTTCATGGTAGCCAGAATTGCCATGGCATTGAGAGTATAGGGGTCTATGTGAAGACTACCACATCCTCCATGACCCATTGAAAAATCCTCGAGTAAAGGGTGAAAAGGAAGAAAAAGATTTACTCTAAGGTATTTTTACCTTCTAAAAATTTCCAAAAGATATATTCCGTTTTATTTTGCTACTATATGCATTATGCTTTTCTATCTTAAAAAGACAACGAAATTTGAACAAGTTTTTTTAAGAATATTTCCTGTACTTTTTTAGTAAATTTGCCTAATTTATTATGTCGATTAATTATATGTTATGTTAGAAAGGAAGGCAAAAAGTACTGACTGGTGTTTTGTTTACTACTTTTGCATAATAGATCTATTGATTGACGCTTGATTATTATGTAAGGATTATACACCGTGAGTATTGCTACTGGATCATCAAACTATAAATTACAACACATAATAAGCAGGGGTGTCAATGATTCATTTTGGCCGATTAATTTATAAAATTTGTACCATACCATTCCATTACTCAAATTTGTATAACTACAATCAGACATTTCAAAATCGTCTCATCATCTAGATCGGGTTCTCTTTATTATTAGTACGATTTGGTTAGTTTTTGATATTGTTTTAGATGTCATGTAAAGTCGCTGGAAGTTAGAACATGATAGCATACATGTTTGTATAGGACTTTGAAAAATTCTCTAGGCATTTTTATTGTTTAAAAAGCTAATGAATTAAGAAAACATGAAAGAAGGCTAGAGTAAAGATCCATCCCACTATTCTACAATATAATAAGAAAAAAAAGTTAAGACAAAAGAAATATAAAATCACACGAGTGATCAAAAGAAATTAATTAAGTTGAAACTGGAGAATAGAGTCTATAGAGGCTTGAATATTCAAAAAGAGAAATCAAAATCGTAGGAAATATATTTTGCACATTGTAGTTTGCTACTCATAATCGTTGAATACCTTGTGCTTTGCTACTCAAGGATGATGGAATTAGTTATAATAGAACTATAAAAGTAGCAGAATAGGTTTGGAGTTAGAATTTTAAATTTTAATTTCTTGTTAGCTTGAATCCATTTTCATAGGGAGAAATTCAAAAACAGCAAGATTTATAACTGGTCGTTCAAAAATAGTCCAGTTTCAAAAGTAATCGAAATTTAACCACTTTTCATGTAAAGATAAATCTGAGCGAAAACACTGTTCAAAACCCGAAAAATACGCCAGTATATTATACTGGAGTTCCAGCATATTATACTGGAGTTCCAGGATAAGTATGTTGGACAATTATAATAGCCACTATTTTGCTGCAACAGAGACCGGTCCAGCATAATATACTGGAGTCAACAAAGTATACCGGTCCAGCATAATATGTTGGAGTTCATACACTGGTGCACCGAACTCCAGTATATTATGCTGGACCGGTCTCTGTTGCAGCAAAATAGTGGCTATTTTTCATTGACTTCGTAAACGCTGACTATTTTTGAATGACCAATCCGGAAACTGGCTATACCGTGCTATTTTAACATTTTCATAATCCCAAGGGCCATGGGAAAAATTTAAAGCTTTATTATTTTTTAACTTAATATATAAGGTATATTTTTATATGTAAATTTATTTGGTACGATTCGATAATTTTTTGGTTTATTTTCAAAAAAGTAAAAAAAAAAAATCCACCCTAATTATTCAGTACGATTATAAATTAATATAAAATCTACAGTCATATTAAAAGAAACATAATAATTGGTTCAACCGATTTAATAGATTTTTAAATATTCATTGACACCCTTAATAATAAGTGCAATTATACAATACAATCTAAACAATAAAACCGACAACTTGTTAGAACAAGTTAAAATATTAATATTTAAAATATCGTGTACTTTCCGGTGTAATAAATTAAATCCAAAACTTGCTACACTCTTTTCTAATATCTTGGTACTTTCGTTAGAATCCACACATTTTACAGGGGTATAAATACCATCACATATAATCATTATGTGTGAAGCTAGGATTGCACATTACCTAATCTCCAACATTACTCTCCTATTTAATATTATCGGTCAATCTAATGGCTATGGTACAATTATTTCAACGTTTATTCGTGAAGACATCGTGAACAATATATAATCTTGCTATGCTACACTATAATAGTTTAAGTCGCATTTTTTTTTCTTTTTACCCCTCAATTTAAGGGTAAATTTCACAAATGGTTATATAATTATGACTTTTTTATTTATATAACTTGGTTTTCTCACACAAAAATCATATAAACTATGACTTTTTTTCACCAAAGTATAACTTTTTTTTCTCGCACAAAAATTATAAAACTTTAACTAACTCACAAAAAAATCATAGTGGTCCGAAAATAAATTTTCCGATAGTATTTTCTTATTTTACAGTCTAATAAATAATTGCCCAATTAAAATANATATATATATATTTGTATTATGAAGGGGAGCCTTGGCGTAACTAGTAAAGTTGCTGCCATATGACCAGGAGGTCACGGGTTCAAACCGTGAAAACAGCCGCTTGCATAAATGCAGGGTAAGACTGCGTACAATAGACTCTTTTGGTCCGGCCTGAAAGTACGGGGGGAGGGGGGGGAATTGTGGTCTATTAGAAAATAGTTGACTAAGGATGAGTTTAGTCAACTAGATTTCGTGCAGAATGCAAATAGAGATAAACAAAGAGAATAGTAAACAGAACAACACACAAGAATTTTTATACTGGTTCGGTACCGGTGTGGTACTTACATCCAGTTTTCCTTGGTTCACAAGGGTTCTCTTAGATCTTGAAAATAATTACAGCAATGATGGTTTTAACTCGTTCACCACCAACTGAATGTAGCAGCTATATATTTTGAATGTTGACACAACTCTCTTTCGGGTTCTAACTCTTCCTATCTTTTATGACACTGGTAAACTGAAGAATACAGTGTTTATGCTAAGAAGCAGAGAGACTTAGAAGACAATGTTTGTAGTTGCGCAAGTTTTCTTTATGAACTGAGCAGACTTCTTATAGGAGAGTTTGAGAGCCGTTGCAATTTGTCTTGATTGAGGCACAGAATCCTCTAAGAGATTTGACCCAAGGGGTGCCTCTCGAATCTTGCACTTGAGATGGGCTGGATTCATTCATGATTTTCCTTGTCACGTCCTTATTTTATAGAGAGATTTGAGCCTTCGACTTTGCTGATTGAAGATGCCGGATATTCTTTGATCTTCACTTGATATATTTCCTTATTTGATAGTCTTGATCTCCTTCAATTGAGACTGAGAGGGCAAGACAGATTTGGTTTTCTTTTTGATGGCTTATTGTCATTTGATTCACCATCATCTCCTTTAGTTTAGACATCATCAACTCCTTTCCTTTTGACATCTACTTGACAGTTTTCTTTCCTTTTGTTGATACATTGATTTCTGCAATCAATGTAAATAGGTTGTCATCATTAAAGTTCATAATAGTTGGGACATGTAGGAAGACGTACCTCACTGGTTCCCTCGTCTACCATAAGGCCAAGTTCATTTGGATTTTCTTCCTCATCTGCTTCTTCATATGCCATTAGCCCAAGCTCCCCTGAATCTTCATTTTCATTAATAGCCATGAAACACATATTTGCAATTTTTTCATGATCAGATTCTTCTTCATCACTTCAGGCTCCAAAAGATTTCTTCTTTTGCATGTTTCTGCTGAGCTTCTTTTTTAGTTCAGGACAACTAGCTTGAATGTGTCCAAATTTTTCACATCATAGCACCTTCAATCATTTTTATCAGTTTCATTATTTATCCTTCCTTTCCTGAAGTTAGACTTCCCTCTTCTGCTATTTCTATTCTTCCTCATCATGTTTGTTACAACTTGAGAGAGCATGACTATGTTTTCATCTTATTCTCCTCCTTGTTCTTCCTCTTCATTTTCTGGTTCAACCACAATTGCTTTAGAAACAACTATTTTCTTGTTGAATTTGCCCATGCAAGTGAGTTTTCTCAAAGTCAATTAGATTACCTCGAAGTTGATCATAGGACATTGTCAAGATCCTGACAATCGAGAACAATGACCTTGGGCTACCAAATCGTGGGTAGACTTCTGAGAATTTTTCTGACTTATTCTCCGTTTTTTATTGTTCTACTGAAGGATTTTAGATCTCCAAGAATTTTGCTGAACCTGGAGAATATTTCCTCTGCAGATTCTCCATCCTTCATTAAAATAGCTCATACTCACGAACCAAAAGATTTATCCTTGTTGTTTCTTTTACCTTGTTGGTTCTTTCATATGTAACCTCCAATTTATCTCATATTTCCTTAGTAGTTTTACAACTTTAGATCTTTTCATACTCTTCATTACTGATAGTATTGTACAGTAGATTTTTTGCTTTAGCATTCACAGTGATAACAGCAGCTTGGTCATCAGTGTAATCATCCAAATCAAGTGGATCAGTTGATACTATGACTTGGCCATTCTCATCTTTCTTTGGGGGAATTGGAAGATTTCCCTTTTTGATCACTCGCCAGACTTTGATGTCATATGACATGGTGTATGTTTCCATACGCACTGTCCAATGAGAAAACTGTTGTCCCTTGAAATATGGTGGTGATACTTGAGAGGTTCCTTCTTGAAATAATGCACCAACGACTTTGTTCGTTCCCATGATCTTTTTCTCTCTAGTTGTTAAGCAAAGTTTGTGAGCCTTACTCTGATACCAATTGAAAGTACAAGAAGGGAGGGGGGGATGAATTGCGGTCTATTAGAAAATAGTTGACTAAGGATGAGTTTAGTCGACTAGATTTCGTACAGAATGCAAATAGAGATAAATAAAGAGAATAGTAAACAGAACAAAACACATGAATTTTTATACTAGTTCGGTAGCGCTGTGGTACTTACGTCCAGTTTTCCTTGGGTCACAAGGGCTCTCTTAAATCTTGAAAATAATTACAGCAATGATGTTTTTAACTCGTTCACCACCAACGGAATGTAGCAACTATATAATTTGAATGTTGACACAACTCTCTTTTGCGTTCTAACTCTTCCTATCTTTTATGACACTAGTAAACTGAAGAATACAATGTTTATGCTAAGAAGTCGAG